AAAAGTAACAAGAAGATCAAATTTTTTAAAGTAAAAAACTTCTTTACTTATGAAACAATATCTACGTTTTACTTTCAGTCATATGCCTTTTTTAGTAGTAGATAGATAATAGTAGGTATTATAAAAGTGATTTTTTTGTTGTTTAGCAGGGATGAAACAAGCTGTTTTTATAAAAAGTTTATCCCAACAAAACAGCAGCGTTACTGAGACTCAGCATAAACCAATTTTAATAAACTGATTTAGACTTTACTTCCAAACTGTCTGTGGGTTAAAAGAAAGGTTTAATCGATAGGTTCAGGAAAAGTATAAATTGGTACTAAAAGTAGGAAAAAATTTGGCAATTCTAAAAATTATGCTCCCTTTGAATTACTACAGGGGAGCAGTACATATATCGCTATTGTGAATATTCGTTACTTTCTATTTCTTGATTCATAACAATGTTAAACAGGGTTCTTTTAACTAAATAGCATGATACTAGGGCGAATTCAGAAACAATTCTTGGGGGGAAAATTAACCTTCCCTAAATGTAGATTTTAGAATAAGCAGCGCTTTTATAATTCAGTATTTCCAATTTCAAACATTTTTGTTAAAAACGAAAGCAGCTGTATTTTAATTTTAAGTTATATTCCTGACCGTTACTTTTAAATCATAAAGTTTTTTTCAGGGTGGCGGTCAAATAATTAAACAAATTTATGTTATTTGTAACGTTTCGGTTTATTCAACCATCTTCAGACATTTGAAGTGTTACTTCTTATACATGTTGAATTACTGCACCCTAGAAACAACTACATAATATATTTTTGTTTTTACGTATTTCTTTTTTTATATTCAGGGATCATTTATAGGATTATTGCGATTGTTTCATAGTACTGAAGTAATCCAAAAGTCACAGAACTTCCCATTTCTTCTCTCGGCCTTGTACACGTCAATGTGACATAGACAGTTCCGACTATTAATAGCAAATCTCCACAGATGGCAATATTGTGGCGGAAAAATGTTTTTTGTATATATTATTTCTTAAGCATTCTTTTTCGTTATTTTACTTCAAATTTACTTTATTTCGAATATTTCAATTCATTTCAATTTCTTATCTTGTACATACTTTGGTTTCCTTTCAATCTAAACTCTGTTATTCTTTCAATCACTTTTACCTGGAAATCCTACTTCAACCATACCTGCATGCATTCTCATACTAATTTCTGGTTTTACCCTTAATTACTTTCTCTTGTATCCTATACTGTCTAATTCTACGTATTCCTATAAACTTTACCCTCTCTTTCATTACTTTCCCTTCTAGAATATTCTATCAAAATTACTAACAACCCTGTTCTATAAACAGTCCAAAAATTTCATATCTCGAGAGAGTCTACTGCTATCATTTGTAAGTGTTTCTGCTCATCTACTTTGTTTTCATATTTGTTGTTGTCTTTGTTATTGTTATTATTGTATTGTCTTGTTCTTTTTGTCACTTTGTCCTCGCTTGTATGTTTCACTCCTTGTGCCTTTTTGTTACTTGTGTTTTCGTTTCGTTCTTGTTGTATATAAATTTTTATTTGTTATGGTTAGTGTTTTCTTGGTTTTTGAATCACATTACCATCAGAAAATACTAAAATATATCACCTTTTAAGTCCAGTTATTTAGCCATTTCGCTATCTTATAGATCAATTTTAGTTCGATCGGTAACTTGTGAGGACTGCCTACGGTTTACTAATGAAAACAAAAAAGTTTGAATTGACGATGGTGGTTTTATTTAATTGCTGACCAAAGACATGTTGTTGTTATATGCCATTTTTAGGGATATTTATAACAATGTTTATTACGTATGCAAAGGAATGCTGTATTATTTTGTATTATAACGTATCATTTGGAAAAGTTGGTATCGAAACATCTCAAAGTCAATGTGCATCTTCGGTAATACATACTCAAATTAAAGGAGCTTATGGAGAAGCGCAGAATCACATTTTAGTTAAGGTACACGAAATAAATCAATGACACGTACAAGTAAATCTCTCATCATTCACGTCATTCTTGTTTGATTGTTAGCGAATCTAGGAATCTTTCCAGTGGAATGACTAAGGAGAAAATTGTTTGTGCCATGAAATCGAACAGAGTAACATAAAAAAAAACAATTGTCTAATAGGCAGTTTTCGTTAGTTTTACGTAAAACAATTTCTGTATTTTTACTGTAAGTGACAAGAATTAAAATAAATATTTATTGTTCCTAATGCAAATGCCAATTTTGCACTTGATTATGAAGTCTTTCAATTGTAAATAATAAATCATCTTCGTGACAGTAACAAAAAGCAGTTTCTGTTTAATTGTAATGGAAAAATAGTATTATATCGGAATTTCTTTTGAAAATTTAATATGTTAGAAAATATATGCAGTCGCTAAAAAAATTGTTAACTATTTGTGTTGTATCGCTAAAGTATCAACAAGCATCACTTAATTTTTACCATCTAGTACCTCTACATTGCCATCTCATGCATTCTCGCTATTTCTTTTTATGCAGATAGATGATTACTTACTGGTGTGTTTTCTAACCAATTCTGTACCAAAAACTACCAAACTAAAGTAATTAATTAATTCATGTCTTTGTGTCTACTACCATCACAGTTGGGTTAAAGTAGATAACATTTCTCGATGAACTGAGGAACTGATTCCTCTTAGCATTTTGTCATTTTCGGAAAAGACTGGAACTGATACATTCAAGTCTCTTACAATGAAAACTTGTCAACCTTAAACATGTTTCGAAGTTGGAGTCGTATTAGACGTTTTTGGGGTTAACGTTTTCCAGATATTGTAACCTGAAACGTTTGGAGGTCTTATCAGAAATTTATCGAATACTATATATGTGGTCATGGATCGCGATTTCGACCTTCTTTGATGTCATGAACGCTTCATAGATAATCTTAGTCGATATAACATCCAAATACAGGCACTGTATCGTCATTTAATAAGTATTTGCTGTAACTGTAGTATTTCAAAACCCTACTAAGGTATTTCAATTGAATCTATTATGCAGCTTCTACAGATCTCAGATCAGTACTCCGGAAAAATTAAGGGAAAGAAAAACAAAGAAAGGAAAAAATAGAATCACCCATATCGCACCATCCTGTGACATACATAAACAAAAAGGGTAGCGACCTTACCGAAAGCCCCAACTGTTCCGGTATTGATGGCCAGGATCACTGTAATTCTGTAACGCGGCATCGTACTAGCTGCTGCGAAGATCATGAGTAGGTACGCGTATCCCCTCAGTTGACGCTTGCGATAAGATAACGCGGCCGCCACTCTGGTGAGTGTTTTCAATTATTGACGGCTTATTAAATGGTTTACTTTTTGTGCAAAGTTTTTATTCCCCCTACATTGCGGTACTATGTACGAGGTGCACTCTACAGTGCCTCCAGATGTTCCCTTTCAAATATTCCAAAATACTAGTCAGATATACTCTGAAGGTCATTGGCAGGTAAATCAGTTAATAAGAACGCTTGAGTGTCTCGATAGGATTAAACAAATTGTAATATCTCAACGGGTCCTGTCTGATGCTTGAAGTATTTTAACACCCACTAAATGGCGATTCGCTACATCTATTTAGATATTGCTGTTTAGGAGCTTCTTTAGTTCGGGCGGCGTAGCCCGTTGGATTACACCATAGCTTGACCATTGGGAGGATTCCGCTTCAATTCCGAGTTTGCTTACCGTGGTTCAAGCTTTTCTGTGGTTTCCTTGGGTAATTTAGACAAATGCTGGGGAAGTAATATTTTACAGATAATCTTTAATTTTACTTCTGTCTTCATTTCGACCGTCTCATTTTTCTTTTTCCAATAACCATTAATCTATTCTCATGATTCCCAGAAGAAAGCTAAATAGGACCTTCAACCCTATCCCCAGACGTAGTCCGGAGGTACTGCCCGTCTACCAGCATTTGCTGCTGGTTAGAATGAAACACGCAAAAGATCACTAATTTATCGAGACTGCACATGAGGCGCTCGGACTATCATGTACGCAAGCTATGTCATTAATTCAGGTAGAAAGTTGAAATACTGAGGCGTAACTAGTTCTAAAATTGATTGGGGAGCTCTTTCTATCCGATTGCGGCGAAGCCCAAAAGAAAAATCGAAATACTAATAGGAAATAGACACTTTTGTATAAAACTCGTTTACTAAAACGTTCACAGCTGAACTTGATTTTAGTTTTTGAAGATTTCTTTGGAGACTATTGACAATTTCGATTGAAATTCCTAATTGAAGTTCTAAGACAATTTTTAATCAGCTTGATCATAAAGAAACTTCTTTCAGCTGTTGCAGTTATAACCGAAAGGATCAAAATACGAAGCATGCTGTTATTATCTTCGAAAAAATGAAGGCAAAGCTGTCGAAATTCATCAGCAATTCCCTGAGTTAGTTAATGGAACTAGATTATTTCTTTTTGTAGCAGTAAATATTCACTAGATCGCGATATATTGCCTGTATTTCAATTGTTACCTTAAAAAAATAGTATACGATCTTAGACAGATGTCATATACTAATCCTTGGTTATAATAAGAAATTTTTGAAAATGTTGCTGTAATGGAACTAGAAAAATTAAGAAATTACTTGCAGCTGTAGTTTTTTGTCATGCATTGAGACGCACTTATAAATCACTTCTGGTATAGGATATGATGTGTCATGCACAACACTTTTTTTTTAATATCCCACTATTATCAAAAAAATTCATTAAAAATTCGGTCAGTATTGTACTGCTTAACATTTACGAATTAATTTTAACAAGGTAAGCTATTGGTCGAGTAATTTTAATCTGAGTTTCTTGATTGTCAGACGACCGAATTACACACTTGCCTGTAACTACTATTAGATGAAATAAAAAACAATAGTAATAACACCCACATTTAAAAAATAATCGTTTGGTTAGATCTATGACAGAAAAACCTCGAGGAGCAGCTTAATTACGTAATTGTGTGGAAGGAGAGCCCACGAATCTGGAGCAGTATATAATGCTGGAAGGGTTGGTGCCTCTATATTTCGGTGCGCACATTAAAAATTATGTCACTTTCCTACGTAAATGATAATAATATGGGTGAAAACGAGGATACCAATAGTGATACAAGTGAAGGAAAATTTCTGACAAAAGGTAAGTGCTATTTTATCGTTTATTACAGATGCTTACAGAAATATATAAATATCTCGTTGGCGTTTTTATTTGAGCCGAATCTGTAGTATTAGGATCGAAACATGTTTTTAATCAACATGATCTATCTATTAAAGTATTCTACTAAAAATTTGATATGCGAATATAAACACCCTTAGCATTGCTTTACAAATATATTACCGTAGAATTAAATTTTATTGGTAAGTATACATATTTTAATGACGATAGAAAATAGACATTATAAAATGAAGTAAAAACTCAGGATTATCTAGTACGTTACTAAACTCGGATATTGTAGTTTTAGGATTAAATTACAGATTTCAGTAATTTTTAACAGGATTCGCCGCAATTTTACGCCTTCGTGTAGTGTGGATAATAATAAGAGATAATACGAAATAGAATGTAACTAGAAAACTATTGCATACTGTTTGGTGCAAAAGTTTTCATCAAATAAAAACTTTGGGCTGGTAGAATTAGACATTCAAATCGTAAACGTAGTTCTATTTTTTGAAATATGCTTTTAGGATCGGTTAGGGTAGTGTAGGCTCAAATCTGCATCATCGAAAACCTGCGCTCGTTATTGTTTTCTGTTAATTCGTACTAGCTGTTATTACCATTTTCAAAATGCGTTAAATTTTCAATAATTAAGTCTAATTAGAGCGTTTTGTACGTTACACCATTTTATAAATATGGTCTTTTTCTTTCGAAATGGTAAAATCAGCAATGTACATCTTTTGACCGATGTGTTGATGATGGTGATAAGTCTAAACAGTTCTAATAACAATCTGGGGCATTCGACGAAAGAAAAATGCATAGAATCATTTTAAGGAGGATAAAGTGCATTAATGTAAATGTAGATGTATTATTTTTTATTTTACTTCATGTGGTACCCCACTATACAAAATTTAATACAGCACAGGGTGCCAACTGGCGCGCCTAGAGGGTAAAGGATAATAATTACTTTAAATGTAGGATCATACTTCTCGTAGTGGACTAGTAACTTTATCATTGAGTAATTAAACAAATCATTATCTTTAAACAATTTATTACCATTATTATTATAAAAACGTATAGGTAAATTAGTAGTTGAAAATGCTTGAATTTTTCGAGAGTCTCGATTAATCACAACCGTGCTGGGGTATGTTTTCTGTCTCTGACTGCTCCTTTGAAAGGGGTCACCTTCATCCTCGTCAATTAGAATTATGACGACGTTGGGTTGTGGTATGTTTTATCATTTCGGATGAAAAGAAATGGTCATGGTCATATCAAGAAAATAATGGAACGTAGGGAACTGTAGTTAGCTTTAAATTGTTTTAAATTTAACGTACTTTGAAAATAATAATAGCAAATACTATCGAAAAATGCAGTTTACGAGTTGTCAGAAATCAACTGAAAAGTACAGCAGATTTATGTTTTATACAACGGGGAACAGGTTTGTCGTAGTTACAAATTTGGGTTTGCACTACCCTGACTGGTCCCACTAACACATTAAAAAGTCAGAACCACATTATGCTTTGCGATTTTAGTCCTATTTAAAACTTTAGTAACTACTAACAGCGAAACCTGGCGCTGCTCGGGTTAAAATACATCGTATGTTTAATGGTATATAAAATATTTAAGAATCCACTTTTTAACGTAGATAATATAGATTTCTATCTTAGATACCACCCTGTACCTTTATGAAATTTCTTAATAATAGTAGATGGTTCTAGAATATTCTAGAATATTTGGACAAAATCTAAAAAATTGTAGAAATCCTTGATAATTAATTGCGGGCACTTGAAAATTTCCAGATCATTCCAGATATTTATAGAACATTCTGGAACATTCCATATCGATTTTAACAGTTTCACACAATTTGGAACTTTCTAGATCAATCCTGACATTTTTAGAACCTTCTAGAACATTCTAGATCGATTGTTACAGTTGCACACATTCTGGAATTTTTTGAATCATTTCAGAAATATTTAAAACTTTCCGAAAGGACTCATAAGTTAGAAAAGGACAGATATATATTTCTTCACATTTTCGCCACCCACAACCACCCACTTCCACCCACCGCGACCAAACTCCCTTACTTTCAGCAGGAGACCAAGGGGTATTTACCACCCCAACGGGAAGTTGATAGAAGTTGGTGGTGATAGAGAAAACCCTGTCTTTACGTACGCATATTAGCATTTTATATACTTATATATTTAGATTTAGATATATTTACGTTAGATTTAAAATCTACCTCGATAAAAGCCTTAACCCAAAGGCGAAACCTCGTTTTTTCACGTGGATACGTCTGTTTTCGTTTGTAATAGGGCTCATTTCATGATCAGTAGTTTATCCACGTCATCTGTTGGTGCATATATATATATATATATATTTGTAGGGATTTAATTTGATAGCATAAACGTTACTCAAAATCGTAGTGTCCTTTTTTCTTATTTATTTACAAGTATATACAGAGCTGATATTTACAAGAAAACATACGCGATCCTCGAACAACCTTCTTCTTTTCAATCTGAACAACGACTTCCTTTAACATCAATCACCAACTTCCAAACGCGCTACCTGCTACCCCCATGGGTAGAGTACCATAAAACTATAAATCGTTGTTCGAGCATTCGCTGTCTTTATTCATAACATTTTAAGTAATATCTTATTTTCTATTAGTACCTAACTTGACTTTATTAATTAATTCTACACGCTTCCGATACCACATATTATATTGGGAATTCGCCAACACTTGGGCTTAGTTTGATACCACGTATGCGATATACTTCACGAGACGAGTGAGTGAAATAAACACAATAATCGTTTGTAGATGTTCCGAATGTGTGTAAATCTGAATTATTTATAATGCAATTATGCCATAACGTTGCATAATTCCGGGTTTTGTTTTGGAGAAACAAATCGTTGTGTTTCATTATTGTGCTTAATCAGCTCAGTTTGAAATAAACTAATTGTCAGTTTATTAATCCATATTGTTCTTCCAATTGCTGGAACATGAATGTTATGAACATAGACGTATCTACATAAAACTTAAGGCTGTAGGTATGAAGGATATAGCTAACCATGGATATTTTTATCTAATAAACCCTTTCTTGCATTCATCTTGCCTTTGATTTTCATTGATCGTAAAATAACGCGATGAAGTAGAAACTGACTCCTAAGGTAATGCTTATTTTAAAATGCTTTCGATCATTTATTATTTGATTTCATTACGCTTCATTAGCGTAGGGTCGAGTCGCCTTCAACAAAATAAAATCACTTCTATGCTTGCGAACGGTGAATTTAGAAATTCGAAAAAGATTGTTAAAGGTGTATGTTTGGAGCGCAGCGCTGTACGGGTGCGAAACATGAACGGTGGGCGCGGCGGAAAAGAAAAGGTTAAAAGCGTTCGAAATATAGTTACAGACGAATGATGAGAATACCGTGGATAGCGGTTAGAAATTAAGAGGTATTACAAAGAATAGGAGAACAGAGGACTCCATAGAAGTCAATAAAAAATAGGCTCAGGCATGAAGGTCTAGTCAGAGACATATTAGAGGCAGAAACAGGAGTTATGAGGAGTACCGTTTGCAAATAGTTAAGGATGTGGGTTGTTCTAGTTTCGGGGAAATGCGAAGATTAGCTCAGGATAGGAAATAGTGGAGGCGCGTGTTCAACCAGTCTTAGGACTGACGACCTTATGATGATAATGATTATTCTTCTGTATCTACACGAATTTCCACTCAAAATTTTTCATAATCTACAAAACTTATTAAGGATTTACTAACGATAAATAGTAAATTCTTCACAAGGATGTATTCAATAGCTTTTCCATGTTGTTTTGTGCTACATACACTAACAACATTGTCCTTTCAATAGGCTGAAGATTAAAGATGTCGTTCAAGCAAATTATGTTAATAAGAGAAGCACTCTACGTTTTTTTAAACGTTAAGTGTCAAATCCAAAGAAGTAATAGGTAGATCAATACCTTCATAATAATTTTCTCACACAAACTTCACTACCTTTCGTTTAATGCGTTTGGGAACCAAACACCCACTTATTTGCCAGGAAAATAAATTCATCTCTTTTATGGGTCGACTTGCTGTCAGAGTATTAGATGACACATTACTTTTTTGATGACTCATAACCTACCATAGAAATACACAACTGTTATGTATTTGTACGTACTTTAGTTCAAAAGCGGCGTACACAGATTTTCGATTCGATTCTATCTTTGTATTTACTTTATGTAATTGTTTTATGTAATTACCTCATTGCATTGTTTTCAAGCAAAATTTTTTATCTAATTTGTATCTATGTAATTCAGTTAAGGATGGTAGAAACTGCATACATATAGGATGTTCCACTCACGGAGGTTTCGTCCAGAACTCTGTTATTATACTTTTAGAAAAAAGTTCTTATAATAGTGGTCTAGAATCATATAGAAAATATTTTCAGTCATGCAGGTTGCTCCATTTTTTCTGGATGCTACCTAACTTTCTTATTTTAAATGGAACGCCCTGTATATGTTTTCATTTTCATAAGTCGACTTTGTTAATGATTCCCTGCACCTATTTGTAGTAGTTTCTGAGATATTCAACTGTTTCTAAAAAAAATTATGATTTCAGCTGTTTGGTTGAGACCAAATAGTATGTAAACCATAAAAGCTAAAAACCGCAGTTTTGACTTTTTCGAATGAAATGACCGTTTGATACGAAATTAAAAGCCGTGTCTACTGATTCTTAAATATTTTAATTTTAAATATCTTTAAATATTTATCTTTGACAGTTTTCCAGAAAAAATCGATTATTTTATGTTTAAAACCTTATATAAGTAGAAAGAGCTTTTAATTTCATTTCGAACGGCACCATTTAATGTTGGTCATTCCATTAAAAGAAAAAAGTTATTCGTTTTTTGAGGTTTTCAAAAGTAGGTCTCGATAATTCCGACTTTGAATAACGCCCACATTTTGCCCATAACAAAAAAGATACGGTAATTCGTGT